AACAACCTGAGCATAAATCACATCATGATTTTATATGAAGTTTGTTTTTCTTACATTTCCTGGACTGATCAGAAGAACAGAGTTAACTTACCATCCTCAGGAGATTCATTTTTATCTCAAAACTTGCTTATTAATAGTGTATGACCATTTTCAAATGTAAATATATGACTCCAGGCAGCTATTTTATGCTTTGAGGTACGATAGACCATTTAAGTATTCCACTTGGGAGCAATCTGAAACATATACTGTATATGACTCGGCAAATTTTGACAAAGCAATAGGGATACTTAACAAATAATGCCTTAAGTAATATTTAAGATGCCTTTGATTGTGTGAAAGAAAACTCCAAACTGAATAATGAATTGATTATAATAAATAAAAAAGTAAAGATTTAAGTATTAAAGTAGTAGACAGAATAGTGGTTTGTTGTAAATTTCTAAAAGTTTGAGCCAAGTGGGACAGAAAGCCCGTATTTTAAAAGATGAAAGATTGAAAAGCAGGACAAATGACAATAAACAGAGGATGAAAGAGAGACAGCAAGAGAGAGATAGTTGTACCACGGGGAAAATGGTGGACAAAGATGGGAAAACAGAACAAGCGACCTAAATTGAACTAAAAAAAAAAAAATAAATTAAATGCAAGAGACAGAAAGTAGCAGAAACAAAGAAAATGCGAGAGACATGAAGGGAGAGAAAGAGAGAGCCTTATCTGTGTATTGCAGGAGGCATAAGATGTAACTGGGGAGTCTGTGTGTGTGTGTGTTTGAGTGTGTGTTATTGAAATGACTTTGGTCAAGTTTGAAACCGAAAAGTCCAGTCAACAGATGGACAGAGAGGAAAAGGAGATGAACTTCTTATTTATAGCTCTGTGTAATGAAAAAAATTAGGATTAAGGTATAAATCTTAGAAAACATTTATCAAAATTGGTTTGACATGTTTGCTATGAATCAAGACTCAAAATGGAAAACAACTTTATCCCTGATGTACAGTAGGCATAAAAAAAAAAAGCCAAAGTCAAAGGTTCCAGTCGATCCAAGATTTTCCTGTTGTTTTTCTTTTAAAATTGAGATTGATTGAAAAACATCCACCCACTTTCTATACCTGCTTATTCCGAATAAGGTTTGTGGGGGCACTGAAGCCATTTCCAGCTGCCATTGGTTGAAATGCGGGGTATAGCCTGGTGAAGTGGCCAGTCCATGCTCACACTTGCCTAAAAACCACTAGGACAATCTGTTTTTTCCCTTTTTAATCTTCTAAAAGATGACTCAGCCGGACACTGTAACATTATGTCATACCATAGGTTTATGGACAGGTGGGTATACACTGTTATAACCTAAAAATGGGTATACTATTCAATACACCTGGACTTTTCTTACAAAATAGTAATACATTTTATATAAGAATTAATTCCACAATGTGTTTGGGTATCTAAAGCCACATTTTTGAATGGGGGATCTGATTTTACAGGTGTAGCATGTGTGTTTTTACTAGTCAGATAAAAATAGTGTCTAAAATGCCTCCTTGTCTGAAATAATCAGATGATTACAATGTGTGAACACTTTTTCGAATTTATTGAGGAAGGATGTGCTTGTTTTCCATTTAGCCAGAAGCCAAAGTGAAAGGTATGTGTTTATATGTTATTTTTTTACTTTGTGTAATGATCTTGAATGGTCCTTGGGCACCTTTGGCTGGCACTACTAACATGAATATGTCAGGGGATTTTTTTTTTTTAGATAAGGACATGCTTGCTCATCCAGTGAAACAAAACCACATCTGATGACACATTTTTATCAGCTGTAACCTCTCTGAAAATACCCTGATCTAGTCTGCCAGTATCATGTCAGAAACTGAAAAAGTACTGAAATGTCCAACTGTTTATCACACTGAGAATAACCCGAAGGAAATCTTCAGATGTTTCATAGAGTACACAAACACGATTTTCTATCCACCTTTCTTTATTTTAAAACTATTTCCTGGATATGATAGCCAGCTTGCTGTTTTATCTGTTTGGTATCTGTATTTCCTTGGTGAATTTGCAGCTGTCACACAAACACAACCTTGTGTCAAACCAGTTTGACAAAATGCACCACTTTCTGTCAGCCTCTTTTTCTCTCCCTCTGTCTCTCTTTTGGAATCCAGCTCTCCGTTATGTGGGTCTGCTTGTGTATCTGCTTGAGTTGGTTTGTGTCCATCTTTGCAGTGCATGACTGCGTTTCGGTCACAGGTTGGGTTTTTTTGTATGCATGCATTGTGTTGGTTTGTGTGTTTGCATAAGTGTACAACCTCCCTGAAATCCGGTTGTCAGATTGGAGGAAGTGCATTAGAGCCTTTTTAAAGACAGAGTTAACAGCCGCGTGCTTTCACATTCATACAAACACATTTAGAGAACATTGTTTGTCTCTTATTCAAGTATAGTCCCTTGATGTACTAAAGTAATGTATTCAGTATTACAGACGCCCTAAGTTAAAACACACAATGGTTGCAAAGTACAAGTCAAAGTATTTACATAAAAATGATAAAAAATCTGGATTTTGCCTATAAAACCATGCAGTGAGGACACAGGAAACCTGAGTTATGCACAATTAATAATATCTAATGCATAGCTGCTATCACTTTATTTGTCTCCTACAACACAGGGAGAACTTTGAATGTTTAGCTCCTTCTTCTGAAAATGGTAATACAAGGAATACAGATGAATTTGCACCAAACTAGTATGAGTATTATATCACAGATCACATTTTGAAATGACATGTGCCAATGAAACAATCACCAAGCTATTTTTGCTATCAATCTGTCAGCAGCCCTGGCAGCCAACCTCTTTCTGCATAGGTCAGTCTGCAAGTAAAAAGCCTGTCTGTCATTCATTCATTCATTCACTCAGCCAGTAAATGATTAATTTTCCAAATCCATTCTTTATACCCACTTCTCTATTACACCTGCACCGGCCCCTCTAAAGCCCTTTTCTCCTCCAGCCATTAAGAGACATCCTGCTAATTGCTGCGATAAAGGGCTTAGCACAGGGATCACTATATATTAACAGTGCTTTGTGTGGAGACTCTGGGCCAGGTCACTGGGATCCCATTCAGTTGCCAGAAATCTAGTAAATGAACACAGGTATAGAGATTAAATAAGTGAACATTACTATGCGTTAAAGCCTTCGTAAGCTGCATGTCACAGTACGAACATGCAAAGTCCACACAGACAGGCCCAGACTGACATTTGAACTGGGAACCTTCTTTTTGTAATGTGACATTTCTGAGCAAAACAACATTTTGCTGCCAATTGTTTCAGTTTTGAAAACAAAACATTTAACATTCTTGTTTGAAAAAGGATATCAGTTATTCAACAATTGGTTCTTTCTGAGTTTCTATTTCACAAATTTACAATAACTAGCAACTTATATAATATAGTTAACTAACTAAATATAAAATAACTAGCACTAATTCTTATTGAGAGTATCGAATATTAACTTTAAATTTAAGTATCAATTATTTCAATTATTTGCATTGCTTTAATTTTGTTGCAAAGACAAACCATAAAATAAAGTTTTGACAAAAGAAAAATATTTCCACAAATTCCTTTCTAATACTAAATAAAAAAAAATTAAAAGCCCAAGACACTTTTCGCTGAAAGTTTGGGATTCTTGCGTTGCAACATGTTTAATACTCATCTGAGGAGAAAAGGTTTCATTTTGTTGCAAGGGGATTGCTGAAAGGCATTCTGTCCATTCAGACATTCAGTGAAGTGGAAGTTGACATGGCTTGTAAAAGGAGGTTCCACATGTAAGTAATTACAACATTGCATCAATAGAAAAAAAAACATGAAAGGCAACGGATGTACAAAGAGAGAGACTGTGGTGATGTCATACGTATAGCCCTAGAGCTGCTCCACAGAAAGTGAATTAAGCATCAGTTCCTTCAAATCTATGAGAGCAACCACGTCACAGTGGTGAGACATTAGACATATTAAAAAAATATTTTGGATAAAATGTCTTCACTTCAAACAAGTGGTGCCTAATGTTAGAATGAGGCAACTGTTAGCAGTTCCTGCTAGCAGTGTGACCACAGCAGCAGGGTCAAGAAGAGATAATGAACTTAAATTGGGTATCTGCTGCTACTGCTCTTGGTCTACTTCGAGTAATGCATTGATTAGATTTTTTTTTTCCCCAATTGCCAATGAAGCTCAACCTTTGGCATCCAGAGAACGAACAGCACAGACTTGATGTAAGAGTTCATTCATGACCATCTCAGGCTAAATGATTTGATTATTCGAAGCGCAGGGCTGGTTCTCATCCAGAATTGATGGATTCTACAAATACCAGAAAGTAAGAGATGCTTAAGATTATAGGGAAAACCCATTTGATTTAATTGTGATAAACGTTTTTCTTTTTTCAAAGAGACTGCAACTATTTTTTGTCTTTTCTTTTTTTCTTTTTTCTTTACTGCTTATTAGCATGAACAGTCCTGCAGGACTGATGACAGTGAAAGCCATTGACCAGCAACACATCAAAAGCCTGTAGAATTGTATGAAGGGAGCAATATAGAAACCTGATCATTAAGTATTGATGATGGTGTATTGTGGCTCTTTAATGTAGCCTTTCAGTTATTCACCTTTTAACCAGTTTGTTTTATAAATCAAAAGGCTAAAGCATACAGAACATTTCGATATTGATTTGAAAGTATGGTCTATATGTCATGATTTCAATATTGTACGGTACCCTGGCCTCAAAAATCATGTATTGGAAATCAAATTTGCTGCCATATTCTCTTATCCAAAAATGTAATAAAAATATCAACAGTTTGCATTTGAATTGTCAAAGAAGTCACCATTAATAGAAAAAAGTGGTATTTATTTAAATTGTAATCCTCAATTTTGAAACCATTTCACATTCAGAGCCATTTAAATTGATGTCTATACTCTTCCCTTTTTGTCAGTTTCATGCTTTTTTCCACAAAGTCTGATGTATTTTACAGGTTCTAACAGCTCAGATATGAAATTTACAATCAGAGTATATGTTACGTGGCTGTAAACCTGGAAGAGAAAGAAAGAAAGAAACAGTTTGGGGGCAAAAAATTCCAGGCATAGACAGAGGCAACAGTACGTATGCACACCGGGACAGAACAGGAAGTAATGGAGTGAGGAGAGAACGCTGCTGTCCGACGTGAAAGTCAACACAGCGTGACATGACCATTACACTCACAGACACGTCTATACACAGATCAATAGCCAACAGCTCAAATTTCTGCAAATTATTCAGAAAAATAGCCAACGGGCAAAAAGGAAATGCACTAAAACACCTTTTTATGTCTCCTCCTGAGGTAACATGACACAACTGGTGTGACAGACAAATATGACATTATATTCTCACGACAATCACTTGTACACACAGGTAGGCCCAATGCCCCCAGTGAAAGTTAGTATTGATAAAAACATTGTAGCATCAGTGACATTTACTCTTACTTTTAAGAGATGTTTCCTATTGTTTGATGCCTGCATTTTTCTTCAGCAATCTTCCCTACAGCTTCATTCTTACGTTGTATTGAAATATTATTGGGATTAATAATAGGAACATATCCAAATTCTTAAGAATTTTGCTCAAGTCTCTTAAAGCTTCACTGTTCACTTTGACGGGATGCATTGTTGTTGTCAGTTATTTCTTTTTTTGTTTGTTTTTTAACAGAATATTGAAGAATATTTCCCCTCATATGTCTCTCCATCTCCCGCCTCTCTCTGTCTCTGTCAGGTATAGTAGGCCGGTTAACAGTAATTACGAGGTTTCGCGTTAATTAGCGAGGAGCACCCAGCTGTTTCGGCCCCCCAGAAGACAAAAGGCCTTCAGCACACACTCGAGTCCACGTGCACACGCAGACACGGGCTCGTGCACACACCTGGGGGATCCTCGGTGAAATGTCAGAGCTGTTCAGATTGTAATTACGGGGAGATTTGCTGCCTCTCTCGCAAAGCCGAGATAAACCGCCTGACTGACACACACAAAAAAACACTACACATATTCACAATCAGACACACACTCAGCACTTCCAGAAACTCAGGGCTGAACTTTGTCTTCAGGACGAACAATATTTGGGGAGAAGAGTCTTCACTCTCAACTTCAATTCAAATAATCTTTTCATTTAAGAGATCATCTGTATTAAGATTATCTACACCTTTATCTGTGCTATGCTAATGGATCAAAACATCTTCAAACTTCCATAATTCCTTACCTTGACAGCAAGTACTGATTTTTTAGCTTTATATTCTGTATGAAGTATAAGGACATGACTATTTAGTTTTGGTGTCAGTAAAAGGTCAAAGTCAGCAATAGAGTACATGTATAAGCAGATTTATATATTTGTTTTAAGGACTTTTCTCCCAACTATCCACTACATTTTCATAATTATCTTTATATCTTTCTAAAGATATGAATGCCTCGTAATCAAGTGTTAACGGCACGCATCTGCATTTGTCTGATTTGACGCTGTTTAATTACAAGGATAAGAAAACTAAAAAGAAAATTAGACATTTGTGATAGGGCAAAAAAAAAGTAATCATCTAATCTGTCATCCTTTACTAATACGATGCATGTTATCTTTTGGAGATGCAAATTATGCTACATTTTGCGACGTGTATTTTTCAATGAATGAAAATCATTTTGGCACCATTGGATACAGCTTCCCGGTGAGAAATCGGAATCAATCTGCATAGGAAGCACCGGAAATTCCCAAAACCTAAAAAAAAACCCACTTTGGTGCAGACTGTCTGCCGCTTTCTGTGTGCACGTACAAGTGTGGAAGTGTCTCCGCTTGAGTGTGTTAAATGTGATCTGAGCAGGTTCCTGAACACACGCGGGGCTGGAGGAAGACGTGCAATTATAATTTCAGCCTCCCACAGTTTACAACGGTTCTTCGAACCTTCGACACCAATTTTCCCAAGTGATCCTATTCATAACTCTTTCCACCAAGGCCACAGACTGCAGCATCAGGGGTCAATTGGCTGCAATCAAAGCAAAATGAGCGCACAACAACAACCACGGTCACCAGCTCAGGGTACAATATTCACACAGAGATTTTATTCTTTGGTCAGCAAATGGACTGCACTGTTGCTTCTTATGATATTTTCATCTGCTGCATTATCCAAAACTAACTGTCAGTAGCTTTGTTTGTGAAAAAAGCTTTTACCTTAACACGTGCTGCTTTTTTAAATAGGTGTTTATGTGTGTGTGTGTATGTATGGACATATGTGCCACTCTTTATTAGTGAAAAGCTTAGAGTATAAAATGCAAAAAATTGGATTCAATCAAAATAAGACCCACAGCCTTACAGTCCAGCTCTGACTTTTTTTAGCTTTGATTTTAAATTTGGTTGTTTCCCTTGTTTATGTTCCACCCACTGCGGTCTCTAAAAATAATTGTCAGGTCAGAGAGGGGGACCGACCAAATTATTTTTAAGTATGACAAATAAGAAAGATCAATTTAGCCAAAATGTCCATTGACTGTTGTTATGAAGGACTCAGCAACAACGAAACAAACTCTGTCGAGATATGAGCAATTGGTCTCGTAGGTTCTGTTGAAAATTGAAAAAAAAAGATAACAGAAGAAAGTTTTAAATGAGTTTAATGAGAGTTTGACTACATAAACCTCTGTGTATGAAGTTTTGATGTTTGATGAGTTATTAAGAATAAGCATTTCTAGGCATTTTTTAAAAATGTGCTTATTCTTAATTTAAAACTAAGATATAACAGCCATGGGGGATGTTTGCATAAATATTGCATAAATAGCATAGCAATAATGGATAAGACATTAACTCAAGCTTGTATTTCCACATGACGGTAAAATCTTTCTACAACATACACCATCCCCTGCCATTTTCCCTCGTACCACACAATTACTAAAATATATCTCTACCATTTTTTAACAATGAGGCTTTCTCAACATTAAATGTTTCACATTTCATGATGAAAAGTGGCTGTTTAATTAACAAGTTCAAATCCAATAGCAGACTCAAGAATAAACTGTGTTTTAAATATTGATAGGAACGTTTCATATCTAACTTTACAACTGAAGGACAACAGTCAATAAAGTTTAGCAGGATTGATAAAAATTTTGCTGCACTCCTGCCATCATGTTATGACATTTATTAACATATAAATGTTAGCATGTGTGTCTTCATTGTGACTTTGTGTCTTTTGCTGTTGGGGCCCTATGGGATTGTGTAACATTTGTTGGGAGTTCTTTATCTAGGTTCTAGACATTTTTTTTATGAGAAATTACTTCTTGCATAGGCTTCATCCCAACAGGGCTTTCTGTATTCTTCAGGTTTCTTAGAAATTTCACTTGGAAAAAGAAATACTGTAACTCAACTGCAAAAGAAAATTAACAAAGACATGGAGGCACAGAGAATGGTGCTATTGTTGAGCTTTATATATCAATCTGAAGTGTACAACAGTGAGAGCATGTGACTGACTTTAGACCTCAGATGTCTGTTGGATGAATAGATGCTCACACTTGCGTCTTGTGTTCTGCGGATACGCTAGTGACAGGCCTAAATGAGTTTTGTTTCATAAGACATTGAATTAAACCTCACCTTTCTGTGCTCTGCAGACTAACGTGCTTGCCAAGGAAAATGTCATGTTTGCCAACAGATTCTCAGGAGTCTACAGTTCAAGCAGCGATCGTCAGCTCACTCGCGTCACGGAGATTTAGGTTGAGTGGGCGCATGTCGACAACAGCACACTATTTATAATAGCACAAAAAAAGGAATAAAAAAATAGAAAAAAATCTCCATGTAAAAGTAAATATGATCTCAATAATGCTACCACCTGAAAGACAACGGAAGTGTTATTAATGTCATCTACAAGGCCAAATTCACCTGCCGTTAAAGATTTCTTTATAAAAAAATTCAAGCGCTTTGTATAGAACTATTTATCATCTGTGCTTCTTGAATAATTCTTTAAGATGAAAATGGTTCTTCCTTTTTTTTCTTTAGCAATGGAGTCATTTGCCGCTGTGTTTTTTTGTTCATCAACATCTTTTTTTCTTTTGGGGTATAACATCAATAATCTATTAATATAAGACAACACAAATAACTCAAAAGTGGCAGATAGGCTATTGCTCCAATTGGACCTTTGACTCTTTGATGGACCCTCTTGAAAACATGATTGCCAAAATGCTGTAACAGTGATCAAACTTTAATTAGCTAAGTCTGTCATACATCTGGGAAACAACCGAGCAAGATATTGGATGCAAACAACATAATCCATAATCCGTTTCGATCTCATTATGGGGGATAACAGTTGAACGGCAGTTTACTGGGACTGAAAATGTTGTTATTGGCTTCATCTGCACAAGCAAGTGGACAGCCAGTTCAGTTAAAACACCACACTACACTGAGAAGAAAGCAAAAAATATCTGAAAGTAATGTTCCAGCAAGAACTAGCCAAAGTGTGTATGAGCCGCCAACACTTTTCTTCTGACAGCTTTATTCATTTCAATACTAGACTAAAGAAACTTATTGGCAAGGATGGAGTCATTCCAGCTCTATGCATGAGCTTTCTTTTTTTAACAGCAATAAACCAGCATTTCTATTTTTGCATTTAGCAGATACTCTTATCCAGAGAGACTTAAAAGGGAAAAAGGTGGATTAACAATCAAGTATATCCTATTGAGTACAATTTACAATACAGTTCCAGTGTCGAGAGATAATGAATGAAAAGTACAGTTAATGGTTAGTTTGTTATGAGAGGAGACACTAAAGCATTTTGAAGAGCTTATTAAAGCTGAAGATAGGTGCTTCTACTCTGGTAGCACTCGGTAGGTCATACACACAGAGATCCATGGATGAGAATATTCTGGAGTGTCACGTTTGTAGGGTTAGCATCACCAGAAGACGACTTTTGGAGGAACAGAATAATTTTGGGGTGGCCTGGGGTGTACAAGATTTTTGGTTATTATTCACTGAATCTCTCCCTGTTGTTCCACTACAGCTCATCATAGGATGAATGTCCACCCATTTAACCAAAAAAGGCAGGGTAGAGCATTTTCTAAATGCTACAATAACAAAATAGTTCAAAAGACAAGGGAAGGAACAGGCTCCTCTGTGCTTTAGCTAAACATCTCACAAGAAAATATGTCAAAATTGAAGAAAAATGCACAATGTAAAAGCCTAAAGCCTTGAAAACAACAGCTCTGCTGATATCCACCCAGAAATGTCAATTGCTGAACGCTGGTAAAAGTCGCTCTGAAGATCGTTGTTGTGGTGGCACAATTAATAATTAATAACCCAATTAAAAAATACTGTCCTCAACCGATCTGACACCCATAACACCGCGGTACATTTTGAAATTAAAACAGCTGTCTTCTCAGGTCAAACCACTGCTAAATTAATGACCAGAACTGAAACATCAGCAGTCCCGTAAGTCTTTGCGCCACTGACCCAAAAAACTGTCCAGAGTCCAAATGACCGTCCCCTGTGGGTCGCTGCACTTTAATAAAATTTACCATCCACATTCTGTGTCACTTGAAGGTGGAGATTTACCCACATTATTTTTCTTTTGCCAACCACCATACGAACCAGAAGCAGTAGAACTCAATCTACAGGAAAAAAAGGCAATCAGCCCCCTATAAATCAGCAGTACTATTCCAGTGATCTTTTTGTCTTAAGTAGTGAGATTTTCACATGGTTTGTTATGGAAAATGGCCTTGGCTGAATAAGAGTATAGGATTTTATACTATTTAAACAAGTATTCTTTAGTATGATGCCTAAAGAATTACAACGCCAATTTACTGCTATAGTTTTGTTTTCCTATGCAAGGTAGATTCAAACGGAAAATCTATGAGCCAGGCAATGTTTTGCTTGTATCCTATTCTATCATTTCACAATCCACTGAAATGTTGATACAAATTTAATCCAGATTTTAAGTAAATAAAGTAGAAAAAAATGGAAACTATATGACTCGGAACAAACTTTTGACCTCCAACAATAA